GGGGCAGGGCCTGCTTGGCCTGCCGGCGGCGATGGTCCGGCCTGCGGTCCGAACAGAGGCCCGACCATTTCTGTCACGCCATTTGCTGAAGAACATGATCGAATGATGTAGAGGGCCTTGGGCCCGCTTAAACCCGTCGTCTTTGAGCTTGCCCCGAAGACTCGAGAAAGGGATGTACCGGTGAAGAACCGCGACTACAACTCACCCTTCTGCTAAGAAAACGTTTTTTTGGGGTAGGAGGAGAGTTTACTTTCTATTTTGAGGTTTTTAGGCCTTTCTCTACAACTTATTGTTAACTATAGCAATTTTTAGCTTATTTTCGCCATAAAAAGACCCTTTAGCGCCTAAACGGTTAGAGATAGAGCGAAACGCACGAAATTTTCGCCCACAGGGCTCTACTTTGACGAGTTACCCCTTAGAAGAACATTAAAAAAAAAAAAAATACTCTTTGGGAGAATTTTTGAACCTTGGGTACCCGGATGTAGATTTTTTGTCCCACCAATTTAAAAAAAGGATATTTTCATACATTTTTAAAATTGTATTTTGGTGGTGTGTTTTTTGTCCCCCCTGTCATTTGTCCCACCTCCCTAAGAAATGGGAGTTTTTCGTTGTTTTTTTGGTGTGTGTGTTTTTTGTCCCACCTGTCCTTTGGAAAAATTCTATTTCTTAGGGTGGTGGGACAAGTAACAGGTCAAAAAACACACAAGAAAAACAACAATGAAAAAATCCTATTCCTTCAGTGTTTTGAGGAAGGTGGGACAAAGGACAGGTGGGACGAAAAACACACACACCAAAAAAACAACGAAAAAATCCCATTTCTTAGAGAGGTGGGACAAATGACAGGGGGAAAAAAACACACCACCAAAATACAATTTTAAAAATGTATGAAAATGCCCTTTTTTTTAAATTGGTGGGACAAAAGACAGGTGGGACAAAATGAGCCAACCGGGATACCCTTATTGCCATTCACAACCTTAGAGTTGGTTGCCAGGAATTGCCGTAGGCGTTTCGTTCTCTAGGAGTGTACCTTAAATACCCTGAAAATTTCAAGTCTCTAGCACATCTCCTTCTAGAGGAACAGACAGACACACAGACACACACGAGGTCGTTTGCATAGCATAAGCCCGCTGGATAGCTTTTTCAAAGCAGAAGGGCGGGCTAAAAAACTACACATGTTGTAATCTAACAACGTTCACCAAATTTTCTGAAACAAATTTTCATTTCAAAACAGGGGTTATTTATTTACTTTCCGCCTACACCAAAAATTTGTGTAACCATACATCTTAATATAAAAATTTACAACGGTTTTGTTGTAGTGTTACAACATGAGGAAAAGTAGGAATCATTGTTATGGACAACTACGGGCAAAATAAAAGGAATATTGCCACGTGTCAATGAAAACAAACGGTATTGTTTTTTATCAAACTAGTCATTACAAAGAGTGTGATAATGTGGCAATATTTTTTAACAGTGTACCTTTTGTACTTACTTACAAAAACGATCATGTTGGGTCATTCCCGGTCATGACCTTACTTACGCCTTGAAAAAATGATTGCATTTGATGTTTGAAGAGAACATACTATCGTACTTTTCCGTTTATGGCTCATGCGAATTTGTCTATTCTAAAGTTGCAGGTCTTCCTCATGTCGCCTCTCAACTGATGTCTGACTTTTCGAGCGAAAAGTCAAATTTCAAGTTAGCAATGGGCTCTGACTCGAACGGTAAGAAAATGCTACTTTTCCCGGACACTTTGGCAACGGACACTGTTTGTCGATTTTGGGATGCACTTCTGTGCACATTCTCGGCAAAATACTCTTTAAAACTTCAGAAATTGACAATTTTTCACTTTCTGCAGTAAAGACGCCTATTTGTCACTGCACTAGGAAACGCAAGTGTGTGAATTTGGCTCACTTGTAGGTGAGCGAATTTCTATTCGTACACTTACAAGGTGTAAACGTATAAATTTTTCCTAGAAAATTCACACCATTGCCCCCTGTAAGTGTACGAATGGATATTCGCTCACCTACAAGTGAGCGACATTCACACAATAGCGTTTCCAGTGTGCGTGTGTTTTAAAGTAAATCTTGTTATAATGTTTACACAGGCTCATCTTGCAATGTGCATAATGGACAATGGAGTGCCTTGGTTTTCCCGAAAAACTCGTCTTTTACTCTTTACTTCTCCCTGTATCATCTTGTATGAAATTGAAAAGATGGCGATTTTACTTCTCCCTGTATCATCTTGTATGAAATTGAAAAGATGGCGATTTGGGATTAAGTCTTATAATTATTTATATTTTTTTTCGTGAAAATATGAATTCACTATAAGTGTGGAGGAACAATTTTGTGTCCAAAAAATAGAAGAGCTTTTTACGTGTTCAGCCTCAGACCATTTGTTTCTGATTTCATAAAAATTGTTTAAATTTGCGTACAAATTCTCTGAATTTAGAAACAAATTTTGTCTGAGGCTAAGTGCGTTTAAAACTGTTCCATTGTTTTGACACAAAAATGTTCCTTCTAGAGTAGGGCAAATTTTTTCGAAACTATCTTTCCGATCCGAGGCTGATAGAGGACAGATGTACCACTTTAAACGCACATGGTATCGTTGAGACGGTCTGGCCTGTGGGAGATTGAAGGTAGCAATGTTCAATACTTCTCAAGACGTCTTCAGTTTGGATATTCAGGACACGTGGTGCAGTTTTGACAGAAATTAACTTTTGATTCCGTTATATGACTAGCATCGAGAAGATCTACTAATGAGCATTCGGCCAGGATTTTTGTAATTTGAGATATCACGCTGCATATGTTGTCAAATGCCACGAGTTTTGAGTATTTTGGTACAATTTTGATCAACACTGTAACGGAACAGAATAGCAGTAGGACAGGACGGTTCTACAGACAGAGGGGACCGTACGGTGACGTCACCGTTGGAGTGCGGTTCGACTTACTGTCCGGAGTACTTCTCGATTGATACCATCAGGTCTACCAACGGGTGGTCTATTTGGGTGAAAAATGGCACATCTATCTATCCTCCTCATTCAGTAGATGTTTTGGGCAAAAATTGCCCTTTTCTTATTAAATGCAAAAAACACTATAGTGCACAAGTCCCAAGTTTATGAAAACAGAAAAGCCGGGAAATCACCAAATGTTAATATTTGTGAACAATTTTAGACTAACAGGATGGTGACTTTTGAAAAATGCAGACGACTTAAATAAGTGTTTTTTTTTTCAACGTAAACCTTGTATTGAAACTCGAAACTAAAGTGGGCGGTCTTATCTGGCACTGCGAGTCTGGCAGGCACCATGTACGACATAACGGTTGATTGATCTTTGTGACTTCAGCTGAGGACGATGCGGTGCAGTGGATAGCGACGGTGCCAGCCTCCGAGGATCCCTTCGCTAAACTGCTTATGTGCCGTCTCTTATGCAAGGGCGGTTTGAAGCAAGCTCCGTCACTGGAAAAAGTACAGCCGGAGAAAGATCTGGAGGCCCAGAAGTGCGAGAAGAACAAGGAGACTGAAATCGAGGAGGAGGAGGAGGAAGAGTATGAGGAAGGTGAGTCTACTGTTCACTGGCATAATACGGTACTTCAGTTCATTATTGTTACGGTACGCTTCGACCTGGTGGTGGGTCCTATAAGCAGCCCTTACACTGTTAGAAAAATCCACAGTATTTGGTACGGTAAAACATTCGTCAACTTGTTTCTCGGTCAAACCGTACCCATTACCGTAGGAGGTACAGTAAAGGTACAGCGAAACCGTAGTTCATTGGTACAGAATACAGGTACAGTGAAGCCGTAGTAAACACTGTCCTTGGTGTAAAAGATTCTGGGCGGTTAAATATTCCCCCTCCAACGATAAAATATTTATGCTTCATCAACATAACAAATATGGGTCGAATGTGACAAGGGTACAATCAAAACGATGAAATTGTTTGGGTGCTGTTTTATTATATTCAATGCATACGATGAACACTTATCACTTCACTTGCAAAACATCAAACCGTACAGATACACCTTCAGGATATGAAGATATAATCTAAGCAAATAACTTCTTCCAAAGGGAGAGGTGGGGCTGAAATAAGAATATACAATTCAGTGCACTATTTATACATATGATAGACACAGTTTCCTAAAAAATATTACAAATATACTCACATCAAAGTCCCCCGTTTCAGAAGATCATCCCGCATCAAAATATTTAATTAATATAAGTCCTCTCTTCTAATGAAGAACTGGAACTTGGGTCTTTTGCAGCCTTCTACGGCTGGATACGTATGAAACTGTTCGACTTTTTTCACACAGAAATGTTCCTTGACAGTGGTACAAAAGGAAATGTCAAAATAATCCCCAGCAACGTGAAATGGTCATGATTAGCTTTATAAATTAGTTTGGCGTCAAAACGAGCTTGCATTAACCTCAAAAACTTAAAAATGACCTGTTGTCTTTTTCGGTTATGCTTTGCCTGCACATGCATTTCTAAGTTGACGCACTTTGTCGCAGGTCTGCAGTGGGAGGAGCGGTCGAACACCCTAGACCATCTGTCTGCCGAGGAGATGGCCGCCCGCCTCCGCATTGGCTCTGTTGTCGGGCGAGGTCGAGACTGGCAGGGCACAGATAGTTCAATGAGGTCAGGCAAGGTGAAGAACATCGAGGCCGGAAAGGTGACTGTCCAGTGGTCTTGCGGCGTTAGAGGTACCTACAACATGGGGGCTGAGGGCCAGTACTGCCTCAAGCTCTTCGCCAACCATCTTGAGGTAAGAGCTAAGAGACCCTTTTTAAACTTTTTTTCCCGGACTGAACTCGCCCTTCCGCCAAACGGAGT